TTGAAATCCAAAATCCACCTGGGTCTTCACACTGCAGATTCTTCATCCATCGATTTAACCATGAATTGAAAATATTTTTAAAAAATGTTTCTTGTTGGGCACCCATGGCTCATGCCTGTAATCCTAGCTTCCTGGGAAGCTGAGATCGGGAGAATTGTGGTTCAAGGCCAGCCCAAGCCAATAGTTCCTGAGACCCCCATCTCCAAACTAACCAGAGCAAAATGGACTGGTGCTGTGGCTCGAGCAGTAGAGCACCTGCTTTGCAAGTACAGTGCCCTGGGTTCAAAACCCAGTCCCCTGGGGGGGAAAAAATGATGTAACAAAAAAGAATAGCGATTATATACAGGATGGAAGGGACTTAGTGTGGTGACTGAAATAGTATACAAAGAGCTTATTGTTTGAAGGAGAATGGAAATAGTAATGTTGTCAGCTGACTTTAATATTAATAATGTGAGAATCAGCTTAGGTGGAGTCTTTTCTGTCAAAGGATTTAGTCGGTCACCACTGCTACAAATGTTAGTCTCACTAACTCGCTTCCCATAAGCTCGTTTCATGGGCTCTGCTTAACGTGATAAAAATTTCTATTAAAAATAAAGGGTTGAGCAGGGCACTGGTGGCTCATGCCTGTAATCCTAGCTACTTAGGAGCAGAGATCAGGAGGATCTTGGTTCAAAGCCAGTCCAGGCAGATAGTTCACGAAACCCTATATCAAAAATATCCAACACAAAGAGGGCTAGTGGAATGGCTCAGGTTGTAGGCCCTGAGTTCAAGCCCCGGTACATCAAAACAAACAAAACAAAAACCAATAAAAAAGAAAAAAAGGGTTGTTACCCTCACTCAGCTGGACAAAATTCTGCTAGATGCCCTGCTTCCAGAACTGAAAACCTAAAACATTTATTGCTTCCCTGAACTTTTAAACTTTTTTGTCTTCAAAGCCCCTTTGGATGTCTCCTTTCCAATTAACCAACCACGTAGACAGTGAGCCCAAAACCTGTTCAGTTCAGGGCAGGGGCAGCATTGCATTAGAGATAAAACCCAAGCAGACTTCCCAGCAAGTGTGCTTGCTCTTTGTCTGTGGTGCACCCTTCTGCAGAGGTAAATTTTGTCTTGCCTGCTGACTTCTGAGTTGTGCTGTCTCTCTCTTGTGACACCCCAATATCTTAAAGATATTTCTAACAATAGTAATGTTAACATAGGCCAGTACTAATGTAGTCTACTATTAGCATATACCAAATATGTATGTAAAATTGTAAAGAGTAACCCCTAAAAGAAGAGAAAAGGAAGACGGCACTTTCAATCAGTAGAAAGAAAAACAATTAAGAAAATTGTTGAATCCATCTAGAGAAAGAATGGAGAAAAAAGTATAGAAAAAAATCAGAATAAATAGAAGCACAAAATAAAATGGTAGAAATGAATGAAATATATTAACAATCATAATAACTGCAAATGGGTTATTTGCCAATTAAGATAAGGAGTAAATTTAACAATAAAATCTAGCTACATGCTCTTATCTAACACACACCTGAAACACAAATATACAGAAATTTTGAAATAAAAGGATGGGAAAAGGTATCAAGCAAATGCTAGCTAAAAAAAACAAAAAAAGCTACCATAGTTATATGTACATCAATAATGGATTATAGACAAAAAGTATTATAAGGGATACAATCATTTCCTAATAATAAAATGAACAATTATCCAGGAAAATCCTATAAATCCAAATTTATATGCACATATCCTCCAACTATGCAAAGCAACATTTGTTTCAATTACAGGGAGAAATTGACAAGTATATAATCTTTGTATGAGATTTGTAACACATTGCAATAATCTGTAGATCAAAAAGGCAAAAAGCTGGTAAGATGTACAGAAGGTACAAATCATATCAACAAGCTTTATTTGATACTTCTAACTAGACCATTACAAGCAGTATAAGATAAATATATATACTCCTTTGGGCTGGCAGTGTGATAAGAATGGTAGAGTGCCTGGTTAGCAAGTGCAAAACCCTGAGTTTGGTAGTGCCAAAGAAAAAATACTCCTTTGAAACAAACATGGAACATTTCAAACATTTCTTGCAAGTCTCAGAAAAATCTAAAAAGTTCACTTCACATACAACTGTCTCTGAGGATTCAAATTCAAAACCAAAATATACTTTCTGAAAAAGACTCACATTTGGAAATTCAAAAGGACTTTAACCTCATGGATGGAAAGGGAAATCATAGTGAAAATCAAAAGGTATGTTTGAAATTGCAGACATTTTCACGTGAGGTAAACAGCACAGTTGACCACTGGAGGAAGATAGCTGATTCATTTGGGGAAAATAGCTGATGAGTTCACCAAAAGCCAATTCATAGGCTGGTCAGCGAGCCAAAATCCAAATATGCTGAATCCATAGTTCTCAATTTGCTGAACAACCAATCTGAATTATTGAGATTTTTTTAATGTGCTCTGTCTCCACTCATGCCCTTATCTAGATCCAGTGTGTGCAAGTGGTCAGACTAAACTGGAATCACTTGTATGTGTGTGTGTGTGATGGTTTCCTCATACATATTTGCCTACTAACAAAAACTACCACAAAAGACTGTGTCAAAACCACAACCTTGCACAAAGGCCACAGCATATTTGCAGAAAAAATACTTGTACAACAATGCCTACCCAGAAAGTACATGTTCAAAGTTGAACACACCTTCTTCTTTATTGATCCTTGTAGCCATGGATTAGTGTTTCAAAACAACTCTGCAACCTTGCTCATTTTATCCTTTAAAGATCCTTCTCTTCTTTTGCTTCCCTGTCATAGGCATTCTGGATTGCAATCTCCTGTCATCCAGAGTAAAATCTTTGTTTTGGAGAGCTGGTCTCTCTGCTGCTCATGTTAGGTTGACAATAGTCACCAAAGAAAACCTATTTAGGCCAGTTCTCCCAACCATTTTTTACGGTGGACACAAGGACTGGTGTCAGTTAAAGTACAGTGTGAAAGGTGTGACTAACGCTTTGGGGGTAGGTGGGTGTTGGAGGGTTTCTCCATAATTTGAAAATTTGGCCAATCAGCAAATTTGATGTTACTAAAAAAATTGCTTTTAGTGACTGATGGCTGGGTGTCTACACAAGCCCACTGAGGAAGGCAACAACTGAGTCAAAGAGGTACCAAGACACTGCACATGCCAAAATAAAGTTGTGTCTTCCTTGGGCAAAGATAGCTTTTTTTAGAGTTTTTTATATTGAAAGGGTTTAAGTTTAGGAACCTGGAGACCGGCAGTGGGGTCCCTGGCTTCAGGGCCTGGGACGTACTCTGAGCAGCCACTGGAGATGACGTGTTGAACTTTTAAGTTTGCCTTTTCAGGCGTGGCAAAATCCCTTGTGATATCTTCAAATACTGTTCAGTAGAGCACACAACACTAGCCTTGTGCCAAAGGCGTCTTGGAGCTTGAAGGAGGGCTTTGCCCAGGCAAGTGCTGGTCAGTGGCGGAGAGTGGTCTCTGCCCTGTGTTTCTTGGGAAGGGAGCATCCCTGAGTTCGAGGAGGTGATCGGCCAGCACTGCTAAAGACCATCATTGGGGCAGCTGGGAGAGAAATTCCCTTTCCTGGGCTATTGCAGAAGATGAGTCCTCCTAGGTTTTAAGTATATGGGCTGGGGTTCGAAGCTCAGAGTGAAATTGGAGCCTTGGGCCCAAGGCCCAAACTCCTGAGATTCTATATGCTGGGTCCAACCACTCACCCCTAAACGCCAAATAAAGAGGCATGGTAAACTCACAGAAGGAAATTTATTACATGACTCAGGACATGCCATGGGGAGAGGCAGAGTAAGCACTCAGCTCAGCTTCAGCCATCTTTGGGGTACAGACATGAGCTACAGGTTTAAGTAGACAAAAGAACTGGGGGCAGGGGACAATGGTATGCATAATTAAACAGTCCCAGTCACAGGTGTGTGCTGGTTGACCTTTATCTCAGTCCAAGGGTTCCCAGAGGGGTTCTGGAGAAGATGTTATCGCTGTCATCACTTGAGGGGAGCAATCTGGTTCCCATGAGATGATTGCTCCAGCTGCAGGATGCAGTCTCATCATTGTAGGTAATTGTCCTCATTTGGAGGGATGGTCTGTCCTGCGAGGTTCCACTGTTCCTTATGGAAAGCTTAGTCCCTTGTCATAAAGATGTTATCAGTCCTGTCTTTTCTGGAATTCAAGGTGATTGCAAAGAGAATGCCTCAGAGCAAAGGCAGATACAAAATGGAGGCAGGGATGCCAAGTTTCTCGTTTGTCGATAAAGGAGTCAGTGCTTTTCAGCAAAAGCAGTTCAAGCACCTCTTACAAGAGCAGTATTTTCCCTCCATGGGGCCCGGGTCTCTGCTGTCTCTCCACACTTGTCAGGAAGAAGAGCCAGCCTCCGTTCCCTGAGTTCTTTTAACATGGGGGGGGGGATCCTCCAGACAGGAAAACGAGGCTCAACGTACTCACCTTGGGGCCTTCCCCACTTCCCTCCCACCCCCAGAGGTCATCGCATCCCAATTCCGAGAATGGAGTGTAAGGAGAGGTGGGAAATGGTGAGACCCATGCTTAATTCATTCATCACACATTTATTTGAGGTCCACTACTTCGGAGAAACTTGCAACTACTAGGACTGCCACCATCAACAGAATAGGCACACAAAATATAATGACACGCAGGTTAGTGCTGTGGTGAGCGAGGATGCACCAGTAAACGCTGGATGCCAGAATGAACGAGTGTATGGATGGCTGGGTCCCTGGGTGAGTGGATGGATGCACCCGGGCATGCGCAGCTGCAAGCGCCAGGCCAGTCCCGACGGCTTTGGGGCGAGGATGGTGGTGCGTAGGGCGCGGCAGTGAGGAGCCCGGACCCGCCCGCCTTTCGCCCCGCCCCTAGTCCCGCCCCAGCGCCGCGGAGCCCTCTGGGAAATGTAGTCCGCGCTTGCGCCGTCCTGGCCGAGAGGCCTGGGGGTCTGCGAGCGGAAGAGGGCTCGCCTTTCCAGGGATGCAGGGCGCAAGGAGAAGGACATGGCCAGACGCGGGGCGGGACCCGGAGCGCCAGCCGCAGCAGCTCCCTCCCAGCCTAAGCCCTTGGCCCCGCCTTCTCTCGCGCGGAGCCGTGCGGCAGCCGTTGAGGGTCGTTGCGCATCCCCCTCCTGGAGCGGCGCCGGAAGCTGGGTGGGCCAGGGGCCCACGAGGCTGAGTCCTGGGATGGCTCTCCAGGTAAGGTGAGCTGCACAGACGCGCTGACGGACGGACTCATCAGCGGGTCTGCTCTGCGCAGAGGGGGCGGCGGGGCGGGGAATACCCGGGACAGCCAACTTTGGGCTCGAGCCCGGTGCCCAGAATTTCAGAAGCCCAGGCCCTCCTCCGCCCCTCCCCCTCTCCCCCCACTCCTGGACAGACGGACCTCAAGCTTTTCTCCACCTGGGGAAACTCGCCCTCCCTCGGCGTGCCTTCTTTTTTAGTACCAGTTGTCCTGAGAGTGATGGGCTTGAAGGCCTGCGAATGACTTAAATCTGAGACTTTAATTTTGGTAAGACTCGGGGAGAAGGGATGTGGAAGTGGGGAAATATAAAACATAAGACAGGTTCCAACTTTTATCCGGTAACATGTGTCGATCAGAACTGGAGAGAGAGCCCCCTCTGCTGTCAGTGGCCTGGGCACAGTCTGGGCTGGGTTGTGGGCTGTGAAGATGCCAGGAGGAGTTGCTGCAGTCTTCTGGGTGGGTGACCCAGCCAGCTGTGCAACTGTGGTGCACATGAGCTTCGGCCAGGCTCACACATTGCTGGGACAGCGTGTGGCCAGGCAAAGGCACTGTGTCAGGACCTTGGCATCACGAGTGCCCCACAAATATTTTGGGAGAAAAGAAAAGCCAGAAAAATGGGCTGCTGCAGGGCCAGGGCATTCTTCTTTGCAGTTCTGACTGACAACACCCTTGCTCAGATACACCCACTGGCTCTGTCTAGGGCTTCCTCAACTGGGTTTCCTGTTCTTGTAGGATGAGGAGGTTAGACCACTGATTTTTCAGACCTGATGTTTCCAAAAATATGCGTCCTCACTCTGAAGCTTCATGGAGAAGGTAGCCAGGAGTAGCCTCTGGGAGTGCAAGGTCACCGATGGAGAAGGGGCAGGGAAGACCTGCAGTCTTTGTGTACAGTGAGACTCCCAGAAGCTCGGGAACAGGTTAGCACAGCCTGCTGGTGGGGACAGTGTGAGGCAGTGTGGTGCAGGGTCTGATCTGGTAGCCCAAGGCCTCCTTGGTGAGCGCATTGAGGCTGGCATGAGAGATGGATGGGCCCTGTGGACACTGAAGTTGTGGTTTTGAGAGGGGCCAGTGATGCTATAAAACAGTGTTTTAGGAGACCCAGCATGGCAGGCGTGAGTGAGGAGGCTGCCCAGCTACAGCCCTGGAAGCTTTTTTCTGTGGTGTCCAGCCACAGTGGGTTTCCTCCTCCTGAAGACCAGTGTCTGCAAACTCACGTATTCCCTCCCTTGCACACATGCCACTCACTGTTCCTCCACTTTTTGTGAGCACAGGAAGCCTGTGACAGGACCATCTACTCTGCCATTGCAGGTTCCCATTGGTATTTTATGAGAATTTTGTCACTGAAGAATTCATCTTGAGGCCAAGATGGTGAGAGGCCTGGAAAGCATCACTCACAGAAGTCTGAAAGAGCCAGCTATATTTAGCCTGGAGATAGAGAGGCTCCCCCGGAAGACAGCAGTAGTGTGTGGAAGAGCCCTAGGTGGCCAGCTGTGCCCTGCAGGTGGATGTTGACAGACAAACCTCCCTTCAGTAATATGAGTCATAGACTTTATTTATTCTGGGCACCTTTTGTTTATTAAATCATTTTGTCTTCACAACATCTCTATGATATAAGTTGTTATGATTCAAGTATTATAGACGCCTTTGCTAAGGCCCAAATGGGTTAAGTAATTTGGCTGAAGTCCTATTGAAACTGGAGTTTAAGGCAGAAAAGCCCTGGCCCCAGGGTCCCAAATGAACTAGGTTCTGCCACCTGTCCCTATGTGCCAATTAAAGAGACTGGCACTGTGAACGGCGGAGAAAGGAGATTTAATTGAATGCAACTGCATTGGCATTCATTGACCCCTCAGATTGTCTTCACGGGGCTTACAGGATTTTTGAGTATTCTTTTTTTTTTTTGGCAGCATGGGATTTGAACTCAGAACCTCACACTTGCTAGGCAGACATTCTAACCACTGGAGCCACTCACTCCTCCAGCCCAACTTTTGAGTTTTTATAGAAAGAGAGTCAAAGCTTATGGTTTGATCATCATCGTCTCAGTTCTGGGAAGTTGCCGTTATTGTCACCTGAGGGGTGTTACCTGGTTCCCATGGAGATGATTATTTCCACTGGGGTATTGTCCTCCTTGGGAGGGTGGCTTGTCCAACAAAGTGGCTGCTCCCTAGGGGTTGTTGTGGGTCAGTCCTGTTCCTCCCAGAATGCAAGATGACTGCAGAGAAGAGAGGGGCCCAGAAAAATGTTAATGTGGCAGAAGGACAAAATGGAATTAACTAGACTAGTGCCCAGTGTGCTCTTTCACTGTAACTAGTAACGAATGGTGTTCCGTGTACCTCTAGGTTACAGTTTTCAGGAGAATCAGTTTACACTAACCATACTCACAAAAGACAGGTAAATCAGAATGCTGTGATTTGACAGTGTTTCCTCAAGTTTCATGCTTTGGAATCTTAATTCCTGTAGTCATATGTTAATGCTATTTGAGAGGTGGGACCTTTGGGAGGTGACTAAGGCCTGAGAACTCTATCCTCATTTATAGTGCAGTCAGAATGCATATCAACAGATAGTACTCCTCGACTTTGGCCTTTCCAGTCTCTAGAACTCTAAGAAATAAATTTAAATCCTTTATAAATCACTCATCTCAGGTATTCTGTTATGGTAAGAGAAATTGGACTAAGAGTTCAATTGGAATAAGCCAGTTACTTGCCTTACAGTGAAAAATAGAGCCAAATCAAGCCAGAAATACATGGTGGCTGATTCTTTGGCCACCTGGGTTTTTTTGTTGTTGTTGTTTTGGGGGGCCTGGGGTTTGAACTCAGGGCTTCATTCTTGCAAAGCAGATACTCTGACTTGAGCCATACCTCCAGTGTACTTTGCTCTTGTTATTTTGGAAATGGTCTCTATTATCTGAGAGTGGGTTATTTATAAAGAATAGAGATTTGTTTCTCACAGTTCTGAAAGCTAAGAAATCGAAGATTGATGGGCCAGCATCTGGTGAGCGTTTTCTTACCGAGTGGTCATCTGGGAGGAAAGAGGCTAAACTCATCCTTTTATCAGGAGACTAATCAGGCACTAATAATCCCATGACCTAATCACTTCTTAAAGGCCCCACCTCTCAGCAGTGTTGCATTGCCTTTAAGCTTCCAGCATATGAATTCTGGGGGCACATTTGCAGGGTAGCACTACCCAAAGTGGAATCCACATAGGAAGCCATATGCTAATGGAGCGCTGCCTGGTGAGCATGGAGGTTTGCTGGATGAGCTGGCAGTATGGGGCTAGGGTGGCCTGAACCATCAGGAAGCGCTTTGCAAGACAGCCTGAGCATTTGTGTTACCTAGCCAAGGTCTGGGACACCCAGACCAGTTCTTGCTCTCCCAGGTTCCCCCCACCTCTTTTTTTTTCTTTTTTCTTTTTTGTTTTTGAGGTACAGGGTTTGAACTCAGGGCCTCATGTGGGGTAGGCAGGCGCACTCCCACTTGAGCCACTCCACCGGCTCTCCCAGTCCCCTTTACTGGCCTTGGCTTGTGAAATGATGCGGTTCTGTTGGCACACCCTCTCTTGGGAAGGTTAACCTGGCTCCAGCTTTTCATGCTCCTCTAGCCACTGAGAGGTGCACATGTGAGGCCTGGACACTCCAGGCCCTCTTGGGTTGTACTTTCTGTGCCATCGCTCTGGTCACTCTTCAGGTGGCTGATCATTCCATGGTCCCTCAGTTGTCTCAGTGAGAGACTTGGACTGTAATAGGGGCTTACAATCTTTTGACTCAGTGACCAACACCCCGCAGACAACCCCCTGCCTGCACCCCACCTTCTTAATGTTGAAACTTCAGTTTGTATTGGTTACTTTTAAAGAACATACATGTCAGTCATCACATTTCAGCATAGTAGTCAAAAGCGTGTAAGTAAAACATGCATATTTAGTCCATAGATGGCATTTGTGCCCATTTGGACCCCAGGCCTTTTGTGACAAGTCTGAAGCTCCTAGGGCCCACAGATGGGGACTCTGGTTTTGATGACCTGGAGCCTCTTTTCACTCTGCCATCTTCCAAGGCCTGGGAACCAGAAGGGAGAGAAGGAAGAGATTGTGGCACAAGAACCAGAAAGGACCAGTGGTAGTAGAGGGGCACCTAGGAGGAGGTTAGAGAGTGACCTGGTGGGAGATGAGGTGGCCAACTGTAATAGAGCCTGTGTTGGGGTCCCCAAGAGCAACCTAGGCCCAGGGTCTCCCAGGAAGATCAGGCTGAGCAGGTAGTCAGTCAGTGGGGAGATGCCTAGAATTGTTACCAGGAGCCAGCTGACTAAACAGGTACTGTCTGCCTAGTGCATGCCAAAATTCCACACTACCAGAAGGAAAGTAGTGGTTCAGCACAACTCATATTGTTTGCACAGTCTAATCATGGTGAGCTACCTTCATCATTTAGGGAATGATAGGAACCCTCCCCAAATCTACATTCCTGCATGCCAGCCTGGGTGCCACCTGGCCACCAGGCCTTTTTAAGGGCAGCAATCTCAGGCCTCCCCTATTGGACACAGATCCAGAGGTTGGCCACATTTTTACCTGTGCAGAAAGCCAGGAAGAAATGTAGGATGTTTTAGAGGGTATCATGGACGAACCTGAGACACAGTGGCCACACTGGACCACAGCATGGAAAGAGAGGCTGCTGGGTTATAGAGTTGGTCAGGAACTTGCAGTGAGCCAGGAAGCAAAGGCCACAGCCTCTGACCACCTGGGGGCCATTACACCACTGGATGGCTGTGGCAGGCAGTCACTGGAGGGACTGTCCCCACCCAGGTATGTGGATGGAGTCTAACTACTTCAAAGAGAGCAGGGCACTGGGAATGTGACTGTAGTGTTAGCTGTCAGCTGTCAGAGAGTAGCAGACAGAGCATAGCACTGAGCAGATGACAAGGCTGTCAGTCAGCAGCAGTGATGTTTTTAAATCACTGGCTTGAGTGATGAAGCAAGACAGTAATTCTGTACTTTATTAGGAGCGTCTTCATTTTCTTTCATAATTCTTTCTTACAAATACTTAGCAGTTGTTTCTAAACTAGAAGGATCTTTCCCATCGTTTACATTCTGTTTGCTTCATTTGCACAAAGTTAATTTTTGCCATAACTCTGAATTCATGCCTATCATATGTTGGTCATTTTCTAGGGTTTTGTGACTGTTTAAAGTCCACTGAATGATTATTTTTTTTTAAGAAACATTGTTTTTATCTTACAAAACCACAGGGTAGCAGGAGGTGAGCATAGAAGATACAAATGCAGAGTGTGGAGTTGAAGAACTCAGTTTCCCAAAGTCCCCACGTTTCTGGACTTCTGATCAGATCTCTTAAGAAACCAACCTCAGCTCCCAGTCCTGAGGGGTGAGGGGTAACACAGCAAGGTGGGGACAGCTAGACTGCAACTAGAAGGGCTTTGTGGGTGTCATCTCCTGCCAAGCTTAATGCTCAAGGGTCTCCATGTATGAACCTGGTGATGGGTATCACAGCTCACAACAGTAGAGATGACCATAGCTGGCCCATGTGGCATAGCTTTGTGGAGAGATGGGGCCTTTAAAGGGCAGACAGGACCAGGAAAGTGAGGGTGGGCTCTGCCAAGCAAAGACCTGGGGTCCAGCCCAGCAGTTGGGAACCCAGACCAGCTTGATGGACCGGAGGGCCTGTGAAGAACTTGGTTGTGGATTTGACACTGAAGAGCAAGAGCTCTAAGCTCAGACCACAAGTCAGGTCTGGGTGTCTCTTCGTTCACCATCAGCCTGACCCATCGGTCGGCCTGGAGAAGGAGGGTCAGTCTCCTCTAGATTTGCAAGGCTGTGTAAGGTTTTTATTCTCATCCTCCTCCCTTTCTGTGCAGGTGCCTAAAAATATTGTATAAAATTACCTGCAGGCTATGTGTATGAGGTATGAAATATAAATGAATCTCATGTATATGCTAGAGTCCCATCCCTCAAATAACTCATTACATATATGCAAATATTCCAGTATCAGAAATGCAAAGCACTTGTGGTCCCAAGGATTTTGGGTAAGGAGTACTCAACCTTGTTAACTAATTCCTTTTTTTAATGCTGTAGAGCTAGGATCCCAGGTTCTTGCGCATTCACTGGAGAGGTGGCTTGTTAACTGAAATGATTTTAGCATGGTAAATGTAAGGCTGACTGGGTTCCCGTCACAGGGCTGACTTTTGCTTAGGCCAAGCAGCTGTGGGGCATGAGACTGTCATTAGTTTCCCGGGGCTGCCATTAACACAGGACTACATACAAACCAGGGGCTTAAAACAACAAACATTTGTTCTCTCACAGTTCTGGAGGCCAGAAGTCCAAAATCAAGGTGTCAGTAGGACCATGTTCCCTCTGAAGGCTTGAGGGCAGGAAACTTCCTGCCTCTTCCAGCTTCTGATATCTAAAGCTTCCCCTGGATTATGGCTGCATCACTCCAATCTGCCCATCTTCACATGACAGACACATTCCGTTCCCTGTGTCTATGTCTCTTTAGGACACACGGTACTTAAGATTGTGACCTCCTCTTACCTAGTTATATCTGCAGTGACCCTGTTTCCAAAAAAGGTCACATTCACAGGCGCTGGAGGTTAAGGCTTCAACATGTCTTTCTGGGCACCCGGCTGATCCCAGCGCCAACTCTCTAGCTAGTTCCTGCTGCTCTTAATGTTAGGTCCCACCCCAGTGGGGTCCTGTCCCCAGTGTCCGATGGGGGATAGTGTGGGTCACTGAGCTGAGGGGCAGCTGGGTTGGTCTCACTGTCATGGAACCAGCCGACCTCTGGAGACTGTGCCCACAGGTACCCATCAGCTTCAAGGACCTAGCTGTGCGGTTCACGGAGGAGGAGTGGCGGCTCCTACAGGAGGGGCAGCGGGAGTTCTACCGAGACGTGATGCGGGAGAACTATGAGACACTAGTCTCCGTGGGTAAGGGACCAAGGCCTCCTGGAGTGCAGGAGGCAGTTGAGGGCCAAGGGAGGGGTGGAGGGAAGCTGGAGCCCACCGGGCTCCTGCGTTTCCATGTGACCCCAGGCCACCGGGTTTTAGTCTTTTCATCTGTGTGATGAACAGTTTCAGTGACATTCTGAGAGCTGGAGACTGGTCCTGGGTCTCGTTTTCTGTCATGCTGTTGTTTCTATGAACCAGAATAGGGTTCTAGGTACAAGTCCTTGGGGTGCACGGTGGCCTCTGCTGTCTGAAGATGAGAGACCAAACAAGCGTGCAGGCACCCAAGCCACTGTATGACTGGGAGGGTGGAGACCACTCCATTCCCAGAGTAACTGTCCCCTCTGTTCTTCCTAGGGACAGCTGAGCTGCTTCCCCTCTCTGCTTTCCTGTCACCTGCAGAGCCTGGAGGAGCCACAGGGGGAGAGAGCTGCGCAAATGAGGGGCAGGAGCCTTCTGTGGGAGGCCCCCAGCATAGGTTCTCTCAGCAGACTTTGGAAGCCCCCTCCTTCTCCCGGTCCTCAGCCCCTGGGCTCCACCTTTCAGGTGACACCTTGACCTCAACTGCTCAGTTTAGCCCTCCCCTACCCTGGCCCTTCTTGACTCACCCCTCATCCCTCTGGGCTATGAGCCTGTTACATGTTTGTTTCATGGAGAAGTGCTCAGAAGAAACCTGGGGTCACCCTGGAGAGCATCCCCTGGCCCAGGCGCTCCTCCTGCCACCACCCAAAGCCTTATCCCAGTCACCCTGCCAAACCAGCCTGCTTCTCCTCAAATGGTGTATGTGGTCCGTGGGGCCCAGACTGAGTGAGGTCAGAAGTTTAGGGGATGTAGGAAAGGCAGAGGGCCAGATGGTACAGACAGCTCTCCTTGACTTCCCCTTGAAGGAAAGAGCTAACTCAAAGTGACAGTGTAGAAGAGCCCTGTTACTCCCACCCAGCCCATCCTGGTTGAGCCCTTGAGCAGATCATCTGGTTTTAGTCCAATGTTCTGGATCTCCCCAGGACATTGATTCCTTCTTGGCTGTTTTTCCTGTACCCAGGAAGGTTGCCTGAAAGACTAGGTATGACAACATGTGCATAAGTGTGCAGGCTGAGCAGACACAGGGCACAGGGTTCATTGTGGCCCCTCCGCAGGAGGACAGCCCCTGTACAGCCTGCACCTCACCGCCCTGGTGCAGCTGGTGAAGGATATTCCAAAGTTCTTGTTCGGGGAAGTCAAGGGCACTGATGACAGCCCCGAGAGTGGGGGAGCCAGCCTGGACGGGGAAAGAGTGAGCCCCAAGGGTAAGTCAGACAGCGGAGCAGCCCCTGCAGCACACACAGCCTCTGTCCTTCAGAGGTGAGGTGCAAGTCCATGTTGCTGTGCGCAGTGTGTCTGCAGCTCCCAGGCCCGTGCAGGAGGCCATAGCCAGCAGTCCTGATTTCTGCGCCATGTGTACACTCTCTGAGCTTCTTGGGCAGTGGGGGCAGGAGCAGCTTCGGTTTTCTTATGATAATTTCTACATAGTTGAGCCACTCTCTGGTGGCCCCACCCTGTTGCCCTCCATGGCGAGTGAACAATGTGTTTATCCCTGTTGTGCAGAGAAGGAAGGGAAACCTTGTCTTGAGTGGCTAGCAGGGCCCCGATACCTCTGCCAGCCCTGTGCTCTTTCTTCATCACTTAACTGTGTATCCTTCCTTTGTCTCAACTTTTCAGCCCAGGTCCTAACCTCCCTCTGGATTCTGTGCCCCCGCCCCCGCCCTCTTCAGTTGATAGTGGATGAAATAAGAAAGGGGTAGAGGTATTGGGTGAGAGGGTTGGTGGGATGTGATGTGGCTTTAGAACTGCTTCTCTGTACTTTATTAGGACACACCTAGGGCTACAGATCTAGGTTTCTGAGCTCAGCGGTGACAATGCGTAGATCACTGGTGTCCTGTCAATGTTAGGAGGACATGGCAAGGAAGGACCCAGACTGTGATGTTGTCAGGGGAATCGTATCAGTTACTGTCTTCTCCCTCTTCTAACAGCAGCCATGGCAGTGGAGACATGTCCTCCCCGAGGCCTGCTCGGCTGCCTTTTAGAGAGCAACTCCAGTGGCCCGCCAGGAGACCAGCAGCAGGGGAGTCCCCTCCCCATTAGTGAGTCTCACCCAGTGGGGCTGGGGACAAAATCAGCATTCTAAGGGTTCTGACCCTGGATTTAGGAGAGTTGGGTCCTGCGCTCTCCATTTTCTTTAGGACTTGGTTTCCTCTGTAGCAAAATATGGACAAAGGTCTTTGGTGAGTGAGACAACAGACTTGGCCTCTGGTCTGCAGGCCAAAGAAGTGTGAGACTTGGTTCCCAGGTGTCTCTCACCCAGCCCTGATTGCTAAGAACCATGTGCACAGGCACAGGGAGCCCGGGGCAGTTTCTCAAATGCCTGGCCGGTAACTTACTATATGCACCTAGTCTGATTCTCAGATCTTCTTATTAAGCAACCATAACAGCAGACGAGGATAGCCACTAGATTTTCTCTGGGGTCTCATTTTATCTTCAGAATTTCTTGCAGATTTTTCACTTGTGTGTACATCTGTTTTTATTAAAATTATTTTTGAAGTACTGTGGATTAAAGTTGGCACTCCCAAAAAACATACCCCAGTCTGTGGATTCAGGTGTCACATGTCCATTTACTTTGGGGTTCCACATGTACAGATTTAGGAAGCATGTGTGTAAGATTGTGGCCTGTGTGTTGAGGCTGCAGGTATCACTTGCTGAGCCAAATTCAGCAGGTTCCGGGGTGTTCAGAGTTAACCAAATAGTCTTAGGATCTGCTGTTTAAATGCAAGGAAAGACTCCCCGGCCCCTCTGGACAAAGTCCTCTGAAGCTGCCCCCATACAAATGCAGATTCCCAAGACTTGGCTGCCCCTCAAGGAAGTGGGACACAAGAGGTCTGTCCAGATCTAGGGTAATTTACAGAGTCTGAAGTCTTCCTTGTCTTCTGCAACAGGAACTGTTGACAAACTGCAGCCTTTGGTGAAGGAAGACCCAGAAAGCCCAGCCAAGGAGCCCAGCCCTCCCACCTGTAGCTCCAACTGTCCGAAGAGCCACCAAAGACAAGAGAAAGGGACCACAGGACCAGGTGAGAGGCTGGCTTTCCTGAGAGTGGGGCAGCCCTGAAGCTGAATGGGGCTGCAAAGGGAGCAGGGGGTGTTGGCTCACGCACGAAGGTCATGTCACTTTCCCATCTGAGCCTCATGACAATAGGATAAGGGAGGCTTTGTCTGTCCATAAAGGTGGTTCTCAGCCACCCAGAGACCCCAGTGGCTCCTAAAGGTCTCATGCTGCCTGTCAGCCCTACACTGACCTCCTTCACCTTTCATGTGCACAGGAATCTCTCCTGGGAACAGCCCCTTGCAAGGCCTCGTCAACTGCCTAAAAGAAATCCCTGTGCCTGGGCCTCAGAAACCTGAGGCAGGCTCAAGTTTGCTGCTTTCTCTCCCTGGCCTGAGTGTGTTGAGGCAGACCAGAGTGGAGGAAGGGCCAGGGAGCCCTCCCCAATCAGGTGAGTCCCTGGGCACCTGGCTTCCTCAAGCCAAGGGCTCTCTAGGTCCTGGAAAGCTGTAGCTATTTCTCTACTCCACACTGTCTGCCTTGAGGATCATTACCACCTGGGCGCTCTGGTATCCCCACTGTTAGGTTTCTGAAGCCAGGTGACTCTTTTAAGGATAGCATTTAGATAGAAAGGGAAAGAAAATTCAGAAACAGACTTTGCCCTGCTTTCCTCTGTTCTTTACTCTCCTAATTTGGGACTCTGAGAAGAGCTGCAGAACTCGTGTCACTTCTGTTAACATCCAGTGAAGTGTTGAGTAAACTCGGGTCTGGGCAGCACACTAGGGCAGGAACACCGCTGGGAGTGACTCTGAGAAGGCTGCTGAAGCTTTGGGTCTTGGTTTCGGCATCTGTAAAGGGGATAGCTGATCCCCCATTGTGGGTGAGTGAGTTTAACAACAGCAGTGTACCTCTTATGTGCGTGCACAGAAGGCTGGACCCTCCTGAAAGGTAAACTGTGCTCAGGCAGGGGACTGTCTAGGGTAGTGAAACACTGGCCCCCCTTCAGTTTGTGCATGAGTGATGCCCCTGCTTGCCTGCAGGTGTACTTTGCACCTTCCTCCTTCACTACCTGGTTGTGAGAGTTGTGTGGATAGGCATTTTTAAGCTGGGCATATGGAAGACAGTGGCTCATACAAGGCTAAGTGAGCAGGGTAAGGCCCATGTCTCTGGCCCTGTATTCTTGTAACTGCATACCAGAATGGTGCAGTCTATTAGGAGGCCTGGACACTGGGCATAGGTAGAAACATGTGCCTTTTCCTTTAGTGAAGACCGAGCCAGCGTCAGGGGATTGTCCCCTCCAGGGTCTGCTGAACTGTGTGAAGGAGATCCCAGAGGCCCTGGGCAGGCATCCTAGCTCAGGATCTGAGGACCCATGGCTGCTACAGGAGGATCCAGGGGTCTGGAAGAGAAATTCTGGAGGTAAAGGCCACTCACTGGGCTGGGAGGGTCCAGATGTTACCTGTTTGGTTCAGGGCTGTCAGTGGCCCTTCATAGCAAAACTCACAGGCTCCACATCATTGTGTCAGTTGGAGGAACCAGATGTTGATTACATGGAGTGAGGCATGGAGATGTTTAGTCAGGCCTCATAGTTTTCCACTATGACTCTTAGTAGAAGGTGAAATTTCTGGAAGGAAGGAAGGAAGGGATATTGAGCGGGGACAGAGACCAACAAATAGAAGACAGAGTTGTAGTGCGGTATACCCCTGGTCATAATTGTGACTTTGGGTTCCCTTCATGTGTGTTTCAGTGGTATGACTAGTCTTGGGGTTCTCATCTGTGTTTGGGTGGGGTTCACAGTTCTCATGCCTGTCAACTTACTAGTGTGTGTGTGAGCGTCTCAGAACACAGCCTAAGAGAGGTTGAGCCAGGCCTGATCTGAGGGCAAGGTCTGATTTGCTGATGCCCAGGGGAAATGGACTTAATAACTTCTTAGAAAATTCTGGAGCACCCTAGAGGGGCTTGGGTGAAAGGAAGAGTATGATTTGGGTCTGTCCAGTGATTATGAAGTTACCACACCAGAACTGATGACTGCTGGACTTGGGGTGGGTCCAGGCCTGAGACCTGGGCTTCCTAATGACCATCTTTCTGCAGGGCCCAAATGCCTTCAGACCTCTCCCCCCTGCCCTGGCCCTGGAGCTGGCAGTATGCTTGCTGAGGTGAAGGCAGAGGACAGGTGTGCCCAGAGGCCCCCACTGCCTGCATCCTGCCAGATTGGCAGGCAGAGCCACAACCCCTCCACCAGTGGAGACACCAGAGGGGTTCCAGTGCCCCGCTGGGCTCCTACAACTCAAGGTTAGTCCTGGGTTATCTGCCCCCATCTCCTGGTGGGAATCAGTTTCCAGACAAGGCTCCACATCCTACAGGGAAGAAGCACCTGCCTATCCCTTGGGCAGGGAGCCCCATTCCCTAGCCTTTCTCCCCAAGCAGTGACTCCCATAGTTCAGGTTGTCCTCAGTTCAAGCCCTGGCTGAGGAAGCTGCCCACTGCATGCAGGTGGCTCTCCACCCTTCCCTTGGAGCTGGGGACAGCTTTGTTTGTTCCTTCTGGAGCAACAGAGAGCAGATCAGAAGTCCTGCCCCCAGGAGAATTTCCTGCCTGGCAGATCCCTAGAGCCTGGTATAGAACTCATCACCCCTTCACAGAAGGCAGGGCTGTGACTGGTCACTGGGGACCAACCTGGAGCCTGACAGGCAGGGCTAGGGCCCTACAAGAGAGGGTAACAGGACAACCTCTTGTGTCCAGCCAGCAGGACCTCAAGTTCACCCCTGGAAGCCCTAGAGGCCTGTCTGAAGGGCATTCCCCCTGGTGGGCCATCACCTCCCCAGCCCCTGGCCACTTCTTGGTCCTGGAGCCCCCAGCCAGGAGATGCTAGGTCTCAGAGGCCTGAGCTGCAGCCCCAGGGATCATACAGTGAAGGTACGTGGGCCTGTGTGGCCTTGGTCTTTGTGTATGCAGTGGGCCTGGGCCTCTCGGACATGTCCCTCCTCATGCCCTCCCCTAAACCGCTCTCCACGTTTGCTGACAATAACTAAAGTTTGCTCCCCACCCCTTCCGTTCTTTGAGATCTCTTCTGATCCGCACCACAGGAAACCCTGGCAGGAGGTACTTTGAGGCTGAGTCTCCTGGTGCCACCCACTCCAGAGCCCAGGGGGCTCATCTGTAGCAGGCTCTGCTGTGACCCTATTGTGCCTCTCCCTGCAGAGGCCACCAGGGAGCCACTTCCACCTCTGGGCTTGCGGAGCTGCAAGAGAGAGGGCCCCATTAGACCTGCAGCTGGCACTCCCACCAGCTTTTCCTCAGCCAGCAGCACCGATGGTGACCTGGATTTCGGGAGCCCTGGGGGCAGCCAGGGGCAACAGCCTAGAAAAGGTGAGCTGGAGTTCCTCTGGAAAAGTATGGAAGGCCCTTGCTCACAATCATCTTGGGCAGGGTGGAGGGAGTAGGGTCCATTTCAGCTATTTGGCTCAGAAGAGGCAGGGCAACTTCTGAAGTCTCTAAAAAAGTCTCCCTTTGCACTACTTCGGAGTGAGATCAGGAGGATCACCATTTGAGGCCAGCCCAGGCAAAAAGTTAGTGAGACCTCATCTCAACAAATAAGCTCAGTGTGGTGGCATGCATCTGTCATTCCAGCTACAAGAGAGGCACAGGTAGGAAGATTGTGATCTGAGGCCAGCCCTGGGCAAAACCACGAGACCCTTTTTGAAAAATAAAGGAGAAAAGGGCTGGCGGAGTGGCTCAAGCAGTAGTGTGCCTGCCTCGCAACCATGAGGCCCTGAGTTCAAACACCCAGTACTGCCGGGAAAAAAAAAAAAAAAAAAAAACATTTAATACAAAGGGACTTTCTTTTTTCTTTTTTTGGAAGTACTAGGGTTTTGAACTCAGGGCCTCGTGCTTGCTAAGAAGGCATTCTACCTCTTGGGCCACTCTGCCAGCCCTAAACGCTTCCTTTTCCCAGCCACAGAAGTGCCTATAATACCAAACCAACCTCTGCTGTAGTGAGGTTTGTGGAAGGCCACCTTCAGCAGTGTGCTTGGTGGCCTACACCTCTGGATCCTACCTGGGAGAGAGTTCCTGGGGACTTAGAACTTGGGATCGTATGAGGCTCTCCAGCATCCTCTTTTGTCCTTTTCCCCACCTGAATAATCCAGTCCATCTTGTCCCATGAGTGGGTACTGGGTGCACCTGTTCACATATGTGTCTTGATCACATCCATTGTTAGTAAAAGGTCTAGAGCCATAGCCAGGACTCTGGCTGTGAGCCACTGGGGTCCAGAGACCAGGCCTGGGGCCTTCTCCCTGCCTGGGTTCTCCTGGGGGGGGGGTCCCTTGGGTGTGGAGTTTTCCCTCTAAAAATGTCTTTTAATTTTTAGTTTTTAATAGGTAATATAATTACCTGGCTTTGTTCAAAAGCTATAAAACATTAAGTAGGAAAAGTGAAGTCTCCTTCCTTCCCCTGTCCCCATTGTCATCCTCCCTGTACCAGCTGTACCAACTGCTGTGAGTTGATCCACCTTCCAGAGACATCTGCATGCGATCAGACTTCTTTCTCCTCACAGATGGTGTCATTGCAGACATGTCCCCACCTCACTTTTTGTCCTGAACCTTTTTCCTCCACATCTTTCTACCATTTCTCCTAATATTCCTGGGCCACTGGCATCACTTCACTTTTTGTAACAGTATAGCATTCTGGAGCACATTTCTGTTTCAGTAGCCTCTACTGATGGGCTTGGTGTTCTAAGTAACCCAAATTGCAGGACACTCGGCCACTTTTGGAAGCTTCAGTCCAGCCCCAGCACTCTCTGCTACCCCAGAACCCGTGGTCATTCTATGGTAGCTCACGCCGTGCCGTGCCAGTGCCATGTGCTAGTCTCTGGCTTCTAACCTCTGCCTGGCCCCAGAGTTGTCAGCAGGCACCCGAGGAGCGTGGCCAGTGCTGTCTGCTCACTTAGGACGGACTCTGCCCTCTCGATTGTCAGCTCAGCCAGCTCCGCTGATTTACGTAGCACTGTCACTGGAAATGCAACTCTTTAATGTATGTGTTTTCATCGTTGAAACCATACGACTGCCCAAGGCTTGATATCCTATGGCGAGGCAGGGAAGCCTACAGTGTTGTCTTCCTTTGAGGGGTGAAGAAGCCTCTCACACATCTTTTGTTAGGGCCACCCTGTGTGCTAGGCTCACACTCATCATGGTGGCAGTGGAGTGTACTGAGGGAACCTCGGACCCACCTATGGTGAAGCCCCGTTATTCCGGCCCTGGGGCGGATGTCTATAAGGTGGCTGACACAAGTCAGGCTTCTTCCAGGCAGCCTGAGCAGGGCTATCTCAGAGCCAGAGCTGACAGGTGTTTGGGGCCAGGTCTCCATCTGGGGTCATGAGCTACTGTGACATCTAGTGCACTGCCTCCTCCCACTGTCCAAACGTGGGAGAAGGGGCAAGGTTCCCAGGGTTTGCAGAGCCCGAACTACAAGACTCACTATTTGATCTTCATAGGATATGCACTGGGAAGCTCCCCACTGCAGAGCCTAGAAAACTGTCTCAAAGAGATCCCCATTCCCAGGCCACAGCCTGCCTGGTCCTGTTCCTCAGCCATGGGCAGGGTTGTGAGGAGAGTGGAACCCCGGAGCTGGACAGCAGACAAGGAAGGTAACTCTGGGGCCATGTGTACCTAGGTGGAGGGCCAGGTTGATCCCAGCATCCCACAGGCCAGATGTACACCTGAGCCAAGAAGGTGCTCTGGAAACAGATCTGGGCAGAGGCTTGTTTGAGACCAGATAGGCTGTTCAGTGCACATGCAGACTCACTGTCAAGGAACTGATTGGAAGAGTCCAGAATACAGATGGCCCAGCACCATTGCCTGTTGCTCCGCCATGTAACCCTGGGGTGGAGCCTTGTTGACTGGGTGTCTTCATCCTGGCTGTGTCACTCCTTGTGCTTTGGTGTAGGCACTAGTCACTGAGCTCTGCAGTTCCCAGGATTCCATGTAGCTGGGCCAGAGAATATTGAGGTCCTGGAGATTTGGGGCTGGCTCCTGGGGAAAACACAAGGCAGGTCATCCCACACCTGAAACTTGTGTGCCTGAGAGCCATCAGTGGCAGAAATTCTCTGTCCCACTGTCAAGAGGATGACAGGCCTCTTGGCTTCTTATTAAAACAGGACTAAAAAACGAGGTTTGTGAGGCAGCCCGTCTCAGACAGGGTGGGGGACAAGTGCCCACCAGGAGCCTCCATCTGGCCAGCTCACAGGCTTTTACCTCCAGCTCTACTGCCACTTGCCCCCAGCCAAAGCTCAAAGATCTGGGGGCCACCAGGCCAGGACCATGGAGGTGGCTACAAGATGGTGAGTCGTCCTTGGTATTTGCTGGCATGTTTTCCCTCCAGGTAGTTTTTGGCAAGGAACTAGATTTCCTTTCTCTAGCCTTCTATCCCTTCCCTACCTCACATTCCTTCCTCAGAAGATGGATGCGGGAACCAGACAGAAGCTGAGGTAGGCTAAAAGAATATAAAGCAAAACAAGTGCTGATGAAGATAGGTGGAAGAGTGTTTTTCTGTCTGTCCCTTGGTTTTCTCCAGTGGAGACGCTGTGGGGGGGTGAGGGACCCTCTTTGCCCATCATGGCTGTAGAAAAGCTCCAGTAGTGTGCGTTCCTAGGTCCCTGCAGGGCAGGAGGGATGACTGGTCTGGTCTGTGTGGTTTTCTAGCCCTCCTTCCTGGCACCAGTTGACCCTCACCAAACTGCTCCTCCCTGCATGATGCTGGTTAGAGGTTCAACAGCCTGTGGAGGGGGGGAGAGGCTGGCCTGGGTCTTATAGTGACTACAAAGGACTTTAGTTCCCCAGTTCACTTTCTAGAACAACCAAGGAGGAGTCTCTCTACCTCCTAGGGCCATAGCGAGCTGTTCTGGGCCTACCAGAGCATATGTGGTCTGTGGGCTGAGCTGAAAGGGACCCATCCTGTATACCTGAACCCTAAGGCAGAATCCTCCTGGCTGTCACTGAGTGATGGACAAAGTCCTATTTTGTCATTTGCATAGGGACAGCCACCATGCCCTCCCCACTGCACTGCCTGGAGAGCTCTCTGAGAGGAATTTTGCCTGTGAAACCCTTGCGCTTTTCCTGCCTGGTTGGCACTGGCCCCAGCCCCAGCCCCTGCTCCAGCTCGAGCCTCAGCAGCTCTGATGGAGAAGACCCCAAGCTAGAGCCTGAGCTCTGGCAGCCCCCGCTCCAGGGTGAGCCTGCTGGGAGTAGGGGTGGGGTTGAGCTGCTCCCCCGGATACCAGTCAGCACTCTGACACCAGCTTGTTTGTGATGCAGAGAGAGACCACCTTCCTAGCTGCAAGCATCCCTTTCCTCCGTCCCCTGTCCCCGGAGGGTCCCCCAGAGGCAGCATCAACAGCTGCATTGGTGAAGACCTTGAGAGAACAGAGTCCAAGGACTGCAGCAGTCTCAGTACAGGTGAGCCTGGGGTCTCCCTGAATGGGCAACCACATGTCCACAGAAGGCCAGGAGTCCAGACTGTATTCTCTGAATCCCACCTGTCAGTTCTTGGCTCTCAACAGAAAGTGCTCTACATTTGTTGCACTTTAGTCCCCTGTAAGGGTAGCCGAGTTGGAGAGAAGCTGTGCGCCCTTTCACAAAGGTCCCTAAACGGTGGTTTGTTAGCTAGCATCTGTAAGAGGAAATCTTGGCAACCCACTTAATATGTACACACTGTATGTGCTTATCGATATATGTACACATATGTGTGTATACGATATTACATAGCAGTATATAATGTGTATGTTGTACAACTTTTTTTCGGCATTGGGGCTTGAACTCTACCTCAGGCTTGCTAGGCAGGAACTCTACCACTTGAGCCACTCCACCAGTCCCAATATAATAATTTGTAAAACTTGGCAATCAATAAAAGAAATATCAAAGTGAAATTTCTCAGTGGTAGATCACTTTCCTAGTATGCCCAAGGTCCTGGGTTTGGTCCCCAATATCACAAAAAGAGAGAACAGAACTTGGCATTTGTCAAGAAGGCTACAAATGCCACCTACCTATCTCAGGCTGCTTCACTTCTCCATCTAGACTATGATCCAGTATTCTCTCCCAACAGGAAAAGTAGAAGAAGGGACAGGAGACAGATCCCAGTCACCCAGGAGGAAAGAGAGTGCAGAGAGTGCTGGTCAGCCCGGCCCTCTCCACAGTGGAGGAGAAGGAGGTAGGGGCCAGGGAAATGGTCAGGGGAGGCTGGCTTTATTGACAGGCCTTGGCCTCAACCTCTGTGGGACCCAGGCTGTACCATGTTCCTCACTTCCCCATGTGTCCAGTGGAAAATGGCAGAGCTCGCACATACATCTCCAGCAGGCCATTCCACCAGTTAGTCTCCCTAACATCTTGCATTGCATTTAATCATTGTTTAAAAATTGAAAGTTTGATTTTGTTTTTCTTTTAGGCCAGATTGGAACATCCCCATGCCACTCCCAAGCCTTTCTTTCTGCAAAGGCAGCTGGGCATCCCTGGCCTGCACCTAGGCTGGAGGAAAGTCCTGGGCCCACGGGTAAAGAAGAACCTGGGGTCCTGGAACCCAGACACGGAAGACCCAGTGTTGTAGGTGAGCTTGGGGCTTCCTAACTTCTGTGTAGACCAAGACCCAGGTCCCATGCTAGGAAAGGAAACATCCTCCCAAGTTCATTGGTTAGGTCATAGGCAGGAAAAGTCTTGTCTTTCAGCCACTCAGGTTCATGTTTCACTTCAGTGTTTTTATAGAAATCACTGGATTTCTCATTAAACCTCACAGACACAACTGTTAGAGGCAGAAATTGAAGTGTCTGCGAATCTAGGTTTGGTGTTTGAGGGAACTTTAGAGAACAGATGAAGGAACCAAACCCCAGCACTGTTGAGTGACCTGGCCAAGGTCATTCAGAAAGCTTTGATTCTGTCACACCTGTTCTGAGGAGCCACATGGAGACAAGCAGGAGGGTGAGGTTCCTACACCCTTGTAAGTGCTGGAAAGGCCTTACACTAGGGACTTGATGTGTGCCTGTGGTGGAAGGTCCTTCGCTGACTTGGAGCTTTGAGCTTTTCTCAAGACGTGGGGTTTTGTTAAGAGCTCTCGGTTGGTCCTTCCTTCGGGAGAAGCACCAGATCAGATCCTGGCTTTATTTTTGGTTTTGGCTTTTGGTCTTTTTGAGAGAAGGTCTTGCTGTGTAGCCCAGGTTGGCCTCAAACTCAAAGTCTTCCTGCCTCAGTCTCAGATCCTTGTTTTAATTAGAGAATTTGGCCAGGCAGGACTGGCGACCTTGGGCCACTCAGGCCATCATCACCTTTCCTTCCCTGACTTCAGCCCCAGAAGTGGTGGAAAGACAAGGAGAGAGTCTTTTCTAGGGCTCAGGGGAACCAGAAAGAGCAGATTCCTCTGTCTAGCCTGGGTTCAGTGGGCTAAGAATGGCATGGACTGTGGCTAAGGACTTCTTGGCCCCCTGCAAGGGAATTTGGGGTGAAGAATTAAATGATTTTTTTTTTTTTTTTTTAGTAATTTAAGATTAAAATTGTCTGAATCTGGCCAGGAGTGTAAACCCAGCACTCAGGAAACTGAGGCAAGAGAATTGTAACTTTCAAGTCCAGCCTGTGCTACACAGTGAGACACTATCTCAAGAGGAAAGTCAGGAGGAGTGAAACCTTGTGGTTTGCTAGTGACCCAAGGGTACCAGCCAGGCACCTATGGTTCACACCTGTAATCCTAGCTACTTGGGAGGCAGAGATCAGGATTGTGGTTTTGAAGCCAGCCTGGGCAAATAGTTCATGAGACCCTGTCTTAAAAGTACTGAACACAAGAAAGGGCTGGCAGAGTGGCTGAAGTGGTAAGAGTATCTGCCTAGCAAGCACAGGGTACTAGTGAGTAGCACCAGGGTCCTCCACTGGAAATGCCCCAGCCATCCTTGGCTAGACTCCTGGCCTGTCTCTCAGAAGCTCACCCACGGCCTTGGCCTTGTGCTGTTGGGAGCTTGCTCTAGGCCCTTCTTCCTGACTCCTATAGCAAAGAAAGTGCTCTGGGGGATATTTGGTCCTAGTGGTCACACAGGGAACCCACTTGTTGCTTTTCTCCCACTGTCTTGGGTAAGCTTAGTCACTGTGGAAACCCAGCCTGGTTGATCCTGCCCATCAGTGGGGAGAACATTAGGAGCAGCCAGCTTTGGTGTAAGAAGGGCTGGCATCACTATTCTCAAACTTGAGTCACCTCCTTTCCCTTCTAGGAGCCACTCCTTACATGGGGAGAAGACTGACACACTAGTTCAAGGGGCCTCTAGGGGTAGTGAAGGTCCTTACAACCTAAGTATGCTTACCCTGCACTTACTTTACTTTTAGCCAGAACTCAAGGGAGGCTGCTCTCAAGGGACCCACCAGAGCCACCCAGCAAGTCTCCCCAACCCACAGCCATCTCTCCCCCATGGTCAACCACCTCTCCCCAGCCACTGTGCTCCTGTGGAGGATCCCTTCAGCAGGAACTGCACAGCCTTGGTACTGCCCTGGAGGCAAAGCTGGACCGGCTTGCTGCGGCCCTGACAGGCCTGGCTCAGGAAGTAGCCACCATGAGGACCCAAGTGGATCGGCTGGGTAGGCGCCCACGGGGCCCTGGATCAAAGGGCCAGGCTTCCTGGCCATGGACCCTCCGCTGGGCCAGTGGCCCTGGTCACAGACACTTGCCCTACTGGAGACAGAAGGGCCCCACCAGGCCTAAACCAAAGATCCTGCGGGCCCAGGCAGAAGGTGGCAGAGCTGCTGACCTTCCAGGACTCTCCAGAGGGAAGGCCCACGTGGTGTCTACACTGCCTGCAGGAGCTCCCCTGACAGAACTTTCCAATCCCAATTGTAGCCTGGCCCAGCAGCCCTCATCTTCGGTACCCAGCTGCCATGCTGTGCTGATAGGGCACCCCCTCAGACACACTGGACACCACCAGAGCCCCACCTCTCCTTTAGTGCCTGCTCCCTTGTCCCCGCTAGTGACCTTGCCTGCAACCAGTGCAGATGCTAAGCTGCTGGCTGTAGGGGCAGCACCAGTCAGGGTCCCAAACCAACCCAAATCGCCAAACAGCTTGCTGGGGGGAGCCTTCCATGAGGGCCTGTGGGGGGAACACAGGGACCCGAGGTGGGGGGCCCATTAATTGTACTGTTCATCAGCTCAGCCTTCTTGATGCCCCAGCATCTACCCCAGGCTGCGCTCTTCTTGTGGTCACATCTCCCTCCTCACCTGCTCTACTGACCCTTCCAGTTGCTGGAGTTCAACCCTTTGCCTTCATTGCACCAGAACCCAGTGGTATCTGCTTATGAAGCAGCCCTCTTCCCATGGGGTGGGGTGGGGAGCCTTCCTATCTACACCTCATGCTTTCTTGGCTCAGGTTCAATCAGATCCTCTCCTCTATTCTCACCAGAACCATCTGGCTCTGGGTGGGCAGTGTGTGAATATCACACATGAACATAACCAGCTGCAGGGTGGCCACAAAGGCACCTCTATCCACCTGCCCTCCTGATCTCAGCAACATGGAGGGCTGGCCCATGCCTTCCTGGAGTAAATACTGCACAATCTCATTTGGGGAGACCTACTCTAAAACATATTAACTGCTAAGGAAAGGTTCTTGTCTCCTATAGAAAGGTACTCAGTGGAGCCCACATTGGGGAATGGCTGATTGGGTTGTGCCACCAGTACAGTGGGAACAAGGCCACCTCAAGGGACTGTAGCAGTGTGCAACTAGGCTGGGGGAAATGCCACATGGCTCCCTGGGAGAGCTGTCAGTCTCCTAGGATTGCACAGTGCCACAGACTTAACCAGTCTGAGCAGCTTAAACCAGAAATCCAAACTCAAGGTATTATCAGGGTTGATTCTTTCGTGGACTGTGAGGGAGGGATCTGCCCCAGGTCTCTGCCCATAGATGGCTGTCTCCGTGTTTACGCGATATACATCTGTCTCCAAATGCCACTTTGTTAACAGGGCACTAAGTTGCATTGGATAGGGTCTACCCTTTCACTTGATTCTGTCAGAGACCCCTCCAAGTACTGATGCACTCTGAGGTACTAAGGGTTAGAACTTCTGCATATAAATGGGAGAAGGCCATTCATCCCATAATGCAGGTAAAGGCATCATTTACCTTGGGTTTGGCTTGGGAGAAGGGATAATGTCACTCAGCCTGCTTCTTTCCTAGCAACTGGACTACACCTGCCCTCAGTCCCATTGGCCAATACTTGGAGTGTTGGTGCTGCCCTGCCTGCATTTACTTGCCTCATTGTCCTTCCCCAGTGCCATAGTTCAACCTGAGTTCTTATTTAACCTGGGATTTTCAAGAACTGAATATGCACATAGTACCTGAGGAGGCCCAGCCTACTGTGGGTTGGCACAGCTAGCTGTGCCATGAAGATGGGGGACTGTAGGATGGATGCCAGTGCTGAAACCCAGGGTAACATGAGGCCTCTGTACAATGACCACATGAGCAGCATTGCCTGCTTAGTGGTTCTCTAAAGTCAGGGTCACTGGAGACACTGAGGGTGTGAGTTGGGGCAGGTAGCCCTGCCTGGAGTTTGGGAACTGTGACCTCAGGCAGGGCAGACACTGTCAGAAAGGGTTATTCAGGTGTTTTCAGGACTAGAGCAAGTCCCATTACTGCCTGGAAATGGGTGTTCATAAGCAGAATGCTGATTGAAGTAAGTGGCCTAGCTTGAAGCCAGCTGGCAGTAAAGAACAGAAAGGCCACAGCTTCCACCCCCTCCCCCAGGAACTCGGTGGGTTCAGCGCCCTTTTCACATAGGCAGAGACATGCTGGGTTCTTTCAGCACCAATAGAAAGGGATAGAACCAAGACTCAGGAAGTCAGGGAGAGGCCTCCCACATAGGTGGCCCTTGCTGGAAGGAGAGTTCTCTGTCTACCTGCCTGGGTGGCCCTCTGTTGTCAGTTCAGTATGAGCAGGTTTGCCGTATACCTCAATGGCATGTCCAGGTGGTTTGGCTCTATGGCCTTACAGATACCCTGAACACACCTGTGCAGCAGGTACAAGTGGGTGGACATGCCTAACCTCACACAACTCTTAGAAGGGCTGGGAAAAGAGTTTGGCTCAGTGTGGCCCCCATGTGTGGCACAGCCATCTATGAGGCACAACTGCCTCCTCCCACCTGGGCCTCTGTGTGACATGGCAGTCAAGCCCATCTGTGTGGTCCATATCCAGTGGGACTGTATAATACATTGAAAGAAAGGTTTAAGATTGTGGAATATGAGTAATAAGTGGCAAGAAGCTCTGCAATGTGCAGCTCTGTTTGTCCTGCAGGGAGTTGGTCTTCAGGCCCCACCACTGCCACAACTAACTGAAAAGCCTAGAATCATTGGTGTGGTGAAAGGCATATATATTCAGGTGCTTGGCATTGTTGCCAGCATCTGCACAGGGCTGCTTCAGAGACTAAATATGGCCACTTTGATTGCAGGAATTTTTCAAAGCCAACGTAGTTCCTTCCCTGCTCCTGCCTAGAGGTGGGGGCAGGAAAGGTTCCAAGTCTGCTGCTATCCTGGGAAGTGGCCACAGGCCAGATCTGGGTGTATACCCATCAAGCTCACACCAGAGGCCCTGCACGCACTCCACCTGCCCTCTGCCTGCAGGAATGCTAGGGCATGAAAGTAGGAAGGTACTGCTTTGGATATGAGTGAGTTCCTTATACCTGTTTTCCCCAGGCCACCGCTGAACAGTCTGATGGAAGGGAGCCTGGGACATGGTGTGTGTGGGGGGATATCATTCACTGCCTGTAACTCACTGTTCTTCCTCCTAAAGGAGCTTGGCTCACTGGTAGGCCAGATCTGCACCCCTTCAACCTCCCAGGGTACTAGGATTCGAACTCCACACTTAGGCAAGTGCTCTGCCACCTGAGCAATGCCTCCAGCCCTCAGATTAGATCTTCTGGTATGGGTTTTTTGTGGTTTGTTTTGTTTTTGTTTTTTTGGGGGTGGTACTAGGGTTTGAACTTGGGGCCTCATGCTTGCTAGTCTCTACCACTTAAGCCATGCCACCAACCTTGGTATTTGTATTTTAGATGTGGCTCCTTTACATAACGCACAGTTGGATTTTATCTCATCTTGACAGATGTTCATGGAACTCTTAGCCCACTTAAATGTGATGTAATTAGTGACATATTTAGGTTGGAACTTACCATCTTATTTTGTGCTTTATGCTTCTACCTGTTCAAGGGGTTTTTGTTGTTTTTCTTCTTTCCCACCTTATTTTTGGACTGACAATGTTGTGGGGTTTTGTTTTTCTTATTCATTCCATTTTTCCTTCTAGCCTTGAAATTTCAGGACTAAAAGGAGAAACATCCAAATTCATATTTAGGAGATTTTTACCTTCTCTTAGAATTTGATAGAACAAGTCAGGAAGAAAATAGAAGATTTGAACAAGCCAGTTGCCAAAAGTGGCTTGATGAACACCACCATCGGACTGCACATTCTTTTCAGAACATTTACAAAAGTTGATGTGATTTACTGAGCCCTGGAGCAAGAGTAAGCAAATTTAAAAGTATTGAAATTATATGGAGGGTGTTCTCTGACCATACTTTACCTTTCAGCCTAGAATTGAAAAACAAAAACCCCAAAAATTGTATGTATCAAAAAGTGATTTTGCTGCTGAAGTAACCTATTCTTCATTGGAAGAAATCACACTGGAAATTAGAAATAGTCAGAATTGTAGAGAAGGCTAGTCAGCACTTAGGCACAAGTGAGTGGTGAAGAGGGAAAGGCTGAGCGCTCACAAGGAGGTACAAATACAACAGCCAGGGAAATCCACAGAAGTGTAAAGAAGGGGGCATGAGAAGAATCAACAGAACCAGAAGTCTTCTTTACCAAAAGTAATAAAATTGACTACTCCCTGGTGAAATTCAAGCACAAATAACCAGTCTCAGTAATGAAAAGGGTGAATTACTAGAGATGCTGAAGACTATGAAAAGATGAAATGAAACAATTTATTGCCAAAACTTGAAAATTCATTAAAATGTAAACTCCCACAATAGTGTAACTTATTTTTATGTGATTTTTGTTAGCATATGTTGTGCAAAAGTTAACAAATTTCCTTCTGTTATTTCCATACATATACTTTGATCATATTCATTGGCCCCATTGCCCTTCCTTGTTCCCCCACCTGCTGATCCCCTTCCTCTTCCCAAATAGTCTCCCTTCTTTCATGTCTTTTTTTTTTTAAGCTAACTTCTGTATGTCAGAGAAAACATTTGTCTGTCTGAGTCTGCCTTCTTTTGCTTAACATGATCTCCAGTTCTATCCACTTTTCTGCAAATGATACAGCTTCACTCCTCTATGGCTGAATAAAACTACTGTGTATAAATATCACAATTTCTTTGTCCGTTCAGCTGTTGATGGGCACCTAGGCTGATTCCACAATGTGACTATTGTGAGTAGTGCTGCCATAAACATGGATGTGCAGGTGTCTCTATTGTATTCTGACTTTGATTCCTTCAGGAATGGCACAGCAGGGTTTTATGGTAGTTCTAGCTTTAGTTTTTTGAGGAACCTCCATACTGATTTCCATACTGGCTGCACTAATTTGCGTTCCAAGCAACAGCATATAAGGGTTCCTGTTTCCTGAATCCTCAGCAGCATTTGTTGTTTGTTTCTTGATGATAGCCATTCTGACTAGAGTGAGATGGACTACCAATGCTGTTTTGATTTCCATTCCCTGATGGCTAAGGATGCCTAATATTTTTCATGTGTTTATTGGTCATCTACTTCCTTTGAGAATGTTCAGTTTATTTGCCCATTTATGGATTGGATTGTGTGGGTTTTGGTGTTTAATTTTTGGAACTCTATATATTCTGAATATTAATCCCCTGTCCAATAAATAGCTGGCAAAGATTTTTCTGTCATACTGTAGGCTGTCTCTACTTTGTTGTTTCCTTAGCTGTGCAGAAGCCTTTTAATTTGATGCAGTATCATTTGTCAGTTCTTGCTCTTATTTCCTGAGCTGTTGGAATCCTAGTGAAGAGTTGTTACCTGTGCCTACATCTTCAAGTATTTTCCCTATTTTCCTATAGTAGTTGCAGAGTTTCAGGTCTTACATTAAGACCTTTGATCCACTTGGAGCTGATTTTTGTATAAGCGAGAGATAGGGGTCTAGTTTCAGTCTCTACTTGTAGATAACCAGTTTTCCCAGCACAGTTTGTTGAAGAGGCTGTCTTTTCAACATATGTTTTTTGACACCTTTATGAGAATCAGGTGGCTGTATCTGCGTGGGATTATTTTTGGATCTTCTCTTCTATTGGTCCATGTGTCTGTTTTTGTGCCAGCACCATGTAGTTTTTATTGCTGTGGCTCTGTAGTATAGTTTGAAGTCAGGTATTGTGATACCTCAGCATTGCCCCTTTTGCTTTGGCTATTTTGGGGTCTTTTGTGCTTCCATATGAATTTTAGGATTGTTTTCTATTTCTGTGAAGAATGGCATTGCAACTTTGAGGGGGATTGCATTGGATCTGTAGATTGCTTTTGATAAAGCATTTTCACAGTATTAATGAACATGAGAGGTCTATCTTTTAGTGTCTTCAGTTTTTTTCTTCAGTGTTTTGTAGATTTCATAGAGATTTTTTACCTCCTTGGTTAGGTTTATTCCTAGGGTTTTTGTTTTGTTGTTGTTAGGTTATTGTGAATGGGATTTTTTTCTTGACTTACCAGCCTTTGTTATTTTTACTTAGAAAAGCTACTGGTTTTTATGTTGATTTTATGTTCTACTGCTTTGCTGAAGGTGATAAAAAGATCTGAGGGTTTTCTGGAGGAGTCTTTAGGGTCTGTTTGGATCTGTAGGGTCTGTTGCAGATCACATCATCTGCAAATATGGATGATGTGACTTCTTCCTTTCCTGTTTGTAGCCCTTTCATTTCTTTTTCTTGCTCTGGCTAAGAATCCAAGCACTATATTGAAAGAGAGTAGAGTGGCTCCCTTGTCCTGTTCCTGACTTCGGAGGAAGTGCTCTCAGTTTTTCCCCATTCAGCGTAATGTTTGCTATAGGTTTGCATAGTCTGTTATACTGAGATGTGATCCTTCTAGTCTCTTCAGGGCTTTTATCATGAAGGGATGTTGAGTTTTGTCAAAGGCTTTTTCTGCATCTATAGAGATGACCATGTGATGTTTGTTCTTGAGTCTGTTTATGTGCTGCATTTTATTTATTGATTTGGATCCTCCTATCTCCAGAATAAAACCAACTTGATCATGGTATATGATCTTTTTAATGTGTTGTTGAATTCAGCTTGTAAGTATTTTATTGAGGTGTGTGTGTGTGTGTGTTCATGTGTGTATATCCTTGCCTGGTTTTGGCATCAGGGTAATCCATTCAGCTAGTCCGTGTCTTTTAATTGGAGTGTTAAAGCCATTTGACATTTAGAGTTATTTTTGAGAAGTATTACTAACTTCTCCCTTCTTCTTCTCCCTTCTTACAGGTTTGCTGGTTTACTGAGTTATATTGCTTGATTCTTTCCTACCTCTCATCTGTTTATCTGTTCTCCTAATGAGATTTATTCTTTCCCAAGTTCTCAGGCTTCTGTGTATTTCTTCTTTTTCCACGATTCCTTTAAGTATTTTCTGCAATGCTGGCTTAGTGATCATGAATTACTTATCCTGGAAAATCTTTATTTCTCCATTAATTTTATCTTTTGATAGTAGTGGGATTTGAACTCAGGGCCTCATGCCTCCTAAGCAAGCACTCTACCTTTTGAGCCATGCTCCCAGCCCTTTTGCTTTAGTTTGTTTTTCAGATAGCATCTCACACCTTTGCCTGGTGCTGGCCTGTAACTGCAGTCTTCCTATCTCCACCTCCCATGGAATTGAGGTTACCATCTGTACCACCACATCCAGATTATTCTGAGTTCTGCCCAGCAGCAAACCACATATGGGAGAGAGGCAGCTCTAGAGGCTGAGCAGTGCTCTACCCATGTGTTCAGGCTTGAGGGTCTCAGTATCCACAGTAATCCTCAAGTGATGGGGCTGGCTTCTGGCCACAGAGGGAAGGGCAGCACCCCCACAGTCCAAGCTCCCTGCTGCTTAAACTTATCAGCAGGTGTGTATCTGAACCTGTGCCTCTTCACTACTGGTTCTCATGGGCCATCTCCCACCCAGACACTGTGGCAGGGTGTCCTCAGGCTCCTTGAGTTGCAATTGTTCCTTCATTTGGAGGTCTGCATAATAGCTCATTCTCAAACAATAAACCCCCTTTCAAACAATAAACCCCCTTTCAAGATGGCACCTAGCTATAGAACTCTGTGATGTGAATAGCAATGCAATGGATTTCTTCAGTGTTGGTCTGCCATGCAGGGGGAGTCACTGTCACCCCAAATCCCAGCACTGA